AGTCGGGGTGGACGGGGTGCGGGAATCGGTGCACGAGGACTTTAACCTGCCTGGAAAAACTTCTTCCCATTGCTTTGGTATTACTTTGTCTGCAATTTCTTCTACTGCTGCAGAAATAGTGCCGCTTCAATGAATGTTACGCCCTTCCCAGCAAACATGTCTACGGATCCAACAGTTGACCACTGCAAAGCACCTAATCAGGTCACATACGAGACCCTCTCCTGGCTGATGATTGGAGAGTTCGTGCTGGGTCTGCCTCTCAACCTGTCGGTCCTCTACGTCTTCGTCTTCAGGTAGGAGGAAACACAATCTGACTAGCACTGCCGTTTCAACTTTTTTCAGAAAGTACTCAAACATGAATGTGGACGAGGGAGTGAGAAGTGAGGTAAAGCCCTCGGAGAGAGGGGGAAAAGTTTCAAGTTAGCCAAAAACTTGAACTTCATAAATGATTCATCAGCCGCTGGGAATTTCCAGGCTCTTCGAGTGATTCAAACCACAAGAAAGTCAATGAGTCCAGGTGACTTTGACCTGCTGCTGCTATTGGTAATTAGGATACCTGCCAAATCAGGCTGTTATCCTGGAAACAAGGGTTCAGTTGGGTGGCGAAACTCCGTCTATGTCTTGCGCAATTTGCCGCACATGTGAGAGCAGGGCAGATAGAAAATGACAATTAACCTAAGTCTTTGTTGTTATTCGATAACCACCAAGAAATAAAACTATTTATATCCAGGCAAGTAAAAATTCGAACCCTGCAAGTTTTGTCTTGATTCAATGAATGCTCTGATACAAGTTTAACACCACTGCTTCATGACATGTTAGTGATTAGGAGATGAGAGGGACAGCAGCCACATCCTGTTTGGATTCTCAGTCCATTTCTGCAATGAAAAACGCTGAAATGATCTTTAGAAAACATCTCTGCATTCCTAAAGTGGGTCCTTGTAAGTTGTATAGGATCTGTGCACCACTGAAATATACACTGCGAAAAGAAAAGCAGCAGCAATTATGAGATACTAAGAAATGTGTCGAAAGAGATCTCCTTTTGACCAGTGGATCCTCTTCCAGTCATCCCATCTTGAACGTTAAGCAGTTTGACCAGTGCAGGGATTCTGTAGATGTTAAAGATGTAAAGACAGGATCAGGTTAGGCTTCCTTCTCTGTTGTGTTTATTCTTGATGCAGAGCGAACGTTGTAGCAGTGAAGCGAATAACTGCTTTGTCAACGGCTTTCACCCTTTAGGTTCAAGTTCTGGAAGAACAAAAGCATCTTCCTGTTCAACATTGTGGTTGCCGACTTCTTGCTGGTGGCCTGTCTTCCTGCCAAGGCCTACCACTACCACCTCGGCCACCGGCGCAGCCCCAACAAAGCACTGTGCAAGACGATGCTCTTCATGCTGTTTCTCAACCGCGGCGCCAGCATTGCCTTCCTCATCACCCTGTCCATCGACCGCTACTTCAACGTGGTGCATCTCGGGAGGAGGAATTTCGTCAAAGTGCTGAAGAAATCCCCCCTAGTCTCCATCGTCATCTGGCTCCTCCTGCTGCCCCTCACCATCCCCACGATGGTCGAGACCTTCGAGTGCTGCAACAGCCACGGCCGCAAGCACGAGACCCGTTTTCACGACGTGACGGACACATTCAGAGAGGTGTGCTTTTGGTTTCTTTAGTTTGCATTAGCAGAGCTGTAAAATGGGCTCGGAAACCAAAAAGGCTTTAATAATTACAATTGCCCAATACACCCGACGTATGCCAACCCTGCCAAAGCTAGCCGCTGTCAACAATAATAAGAACTACAGTTATTTACACTACCTCATACCATCACACACAGACTTCCTGACAGTCATTACAGTTTATTAGCTTTAATGGTTGATCTAATTGCCCTAGTTCCCTGACTAACAGATTGCCACAAGCAGCATAAACAAACCCGTCGAGCCATCACAGCATCTTAAACTCTGGACACGTTCAATTTTATGTCTAATAAGAATAGATAAGAAGACCTGTGGCATTGTGCAACTATTTGTTGAAGAAAAACTCCTCACCCAAATGTGAATATTTGCTGGATGATGGAAAACTTGATATCTTTGTGTTTTGAGCTGCTTCACAGCCAGAACAAGACAAGTGAGGACAATAGCTTTGGATGAGTAAGACTGCTGAGAAGTTCAATTTAGAAATGAGTCATACACCTCAGCACCTGACAAAAACGATCTTTAAATTCAGGGGTACGGATGGTGAACTCTGCGGCCTTTCATTTCTTAATTTTTTTCCTTTTAAGATCGTCTATTTCGGCCAGATCATCGTGCCCTTCGTCATCCTCGTCTACTGCACGGTGCACATCGTCAACCGGCTGCGGAGGAAGACGGTGGGGGAGAAGACCAAACTGAGGAGAGCCGTGTGCGTGGTCATGTCCGTCGTCGTCGTCTTCTCCGTCTGCTTCCTGCCCAGCACCGTTGCCAGAGCAGTGCTGCTGAGCGTCCGGCTTAACAAAGATTGGGAGCACATGGAAGATGCGGTGGTTCAGGTCTACGACAGCCTCATGGTTCTGTCTTACATCGACTGCCTGCTGGACCCGCTGGTATACTGCTTCTGCAACTCCGGGTTTAAAGACGCCTACATATCCACCTTCTGTCCCGCGTTTCTCCGGAACAGACTGTTAAATACTGACTTTTGCTTGGGAACAACAACAACTACAACAACAACAACAACAACGACTTCTGGAATTAGAGAAGTTTCTTTGCCGATATTAGCAAAATGATATTTTCAGTCTCTTAAACTGCAGTGAAAGTTTTGTCCAATGTGTTTAATCAACATTACAGCTCAGCTGCACAGATAGCATAACCACTGGTCCCTCCACACAAGCTACGCCGGCAGATTATTAACATTTTCTCAGAAAAACATTAGGTAAAGCAATTCTGCCGAATTTACACAAAGGCTGAAAACACAGGCGGGGGCGGATGACATCCTCTGTGGGCACAGCCATGATCTGATCTGATGAAACCATCTTCTATCTAAAATCAGCATGTGTTCATGGGTTTATCTGGAGCCGTGTTTAGGGCCAGCAGCTCCACTCACGCACACTTGCTGATGTTTTTCTCACTGTAACCCTTAATGACCTCCTGTTGGAGCTGAAGAGACCGTCTTCTGAACAATTTGAGAACGAATCATTTTCTTTCCGCACTTTTTTTCCAACATGAAATCCGCATCGACGCTTGACCGACTGCTTTCAGTGCTCGTGGTCCATTCACGTGGCTTCACACTGTGCGGCTGCCACCTGATCTAAAGTCTAATTCAATATGATTTATACGGATATAAGACAATGAGTAAGATCTGGACTTTTTTTTTTTTCAGCGGCATTGTTTTATATTTAGATATATATTTTTATATTTGTTGTGTGGTGTTAAGATGATACATTTCCCTTGCGATTGCATTTCCCTGCATACGATGGTCCTTGCACGAACTACAAAGTACTAGTATAGACCATAAAGTATAGTACAGACCTAACTTACTGTGTTCTGCTGTACTGTATGTTTACCCATACATACTGTGTTGGCACTCAGGAAGCTCTCCATCTCTGCGTTCATCATCAGTACCTGAAACCAGCTGTACCGGTCCTCGCTGGGGTTCACCCTCAGTACAACATATTGTTTTTCTCAAAGATGTATATGAAGATTTCCAATATCTTTTGGAATTTATTTCTTACTGGTGCATTTTCACTTCCCATGTACAACTGTAATTATGTATAATCAGGGTAAAGCAGGCCGTCTACACCCCTTTTTCTTTAAGAGGAGGTTATAAATGATGTGCAACTACGACCACTACTAAAATGTCAAACCCGAGTGGACTGCAGGAATCTAGAAGGCTGATTTAAACATTCCTCACTCACGCTGTATGTCATTTTGTGATGTTGATCATCAAAACTTAATTATTTGCATGAGATCATGATACCAACTGAAGATTTTTGTATATTACTGCTGTAAATAAACTAAATACAGGTCTAAGCAAAACATCACAAGATGGAGACCCTTGATATACAAATGCACTCTGAGCAACACACCAACATGTAAAGCATTTACTGTGAAGCCAGCTTGTAACATCCCAAACAAGGAGAAAAAGCAACGCATCCAGATCCCTGTTGCACCCTCCTATACATCACTGTCAGTGTCCAACTGTTGACGGTGCTGATCGGCCTCTTTGGGCTCCATTTTCCACCCCTGTGACAGTTTGTTCTGAATTGTAAATGTGAACTCACCTCGTCAAAAGCAGCATATTCCCCACGTATTGTTGTCTATCCTATCCTAACTCAAGGTATTTGTTTAGATGCATTAGCACCCTTATTTTCAATTTTGAAACATTTTGAGGTGTGTACCCATTGCTCCGTGCAGGCAGTACGGTTGTAGCAACAGGAGGCTGTCAAGTTGAGGCTAGCAGGTTTAATAACACAGCAGCCGCGGCAACGACAGAGGAAGGACGTACGAATACAAAAACAAACAGAAAAACACTGAAGATCAGTGTTATTGGTCTTCTTTACAGATTGGCTGCATGCCTGATTTGTTTGAAGCCTGTTATGGGTTAATGACTTTGCCTCAGACTGAATGTTGTTTTAAGTCATTTATCTCATTAAGATAAGTATGTGTTGAGTTGGAAACTTAAGGAATTCGAGGCAAGACGTCGTAATTGTAATCAAACTTCTCGTAATCTCCTCAACGTATAGTAATTCAAGTAATCAGTTATTTATTTATGTTTTCAAATAAGCTGTTCGTTAAAAGAACATCACAGTGAATTGCAGATTGTGTCTGAGAATAAGAAGAAGCGTCCCCAGCAATTTAGAGAAGCGCCAACATGCGCCCACAAGGCCAGGCTCTTTGGGCTGTGACGAGATGAGACGAGACGTCGATGTATAACCAACAGGCGCAAGGAATCGCAAAGAGGTTTTTGGTAATGGAAAAGGGCTCTTAGGAGTTACTTTTCTCAGTGGCTGAAACAAGTTACTTTTAAATGGCACCAACGTTGTAATGTTATTCGTTACTTTTAAAAGTAGCATCACCCAGCACTGGAAATTAGTTGCTGAAAATCCTTAATTACAATGCTGAAGATTTAGCGCAGATGTACACATTTGTTTTCTCAGAAAAGGCTCAAATGCAAAGACCGGTTTTAAGAATCAATACTGGATCACCCAAACAAATATTGTTGCATTTAATCAGAAAAAATATATATATATAGATATATTTTTAATAATATATATATTTCTTTTTTTTTTTCTTTCACCTGACCCAAACAGGAGAGTGTGCTGCTCAACACTGACCTGTCCCTAGTAGCGTCAGCAGTCGACTCTGCTCCTGCAGGACCTCGTGGATCTGCTCAATTTGCCGCTGAACCACCTCATATGGACGCTCTGGCGCCTGCCAAGAGACACACATTAAGAACCGGACCAACGCAACATGTTACAATGGCTGTGGTGGGCACTTTCCTTCCCAGCAGGAACACTAATCTGATGTTCTACTGCTGTCTAGTGGCAAGACGAACAACTGAACTAAAAGTGGACATGCCTGATTACGTTGAACAGTCTTGTATATAATACATCCTTTCTTTATTTCTAGATAAAGTTCCCTGTCTCATAATTGACGAAAGGTTTTCACCCTGAGATTCTCCTCTCATCAAACATAGTGCTAGACACATCATCAATAGCTTTTTTGGGTAATACAGCAAAGTAACACTCACTTGTTGCTGATTTACGTTGTGAAAGGCCGTCGGCTGGTATCGTCCACGGGGGACAGCATCGTCAGGGCTCAGGAGAGAGGAGAGGCCAGGGGGCGTCATGCCCACCACTGGTTGGCCCTGAAAGGCCAGCTGGCCCAGGCCGTCCCCTGGGTGCTCTACCCCACTGAGTCCAGGAGTGGGTGAGACAGGTGCAGGAGTCTGAACCGACCGATTAGAGTCCGTGCACGTCCTCTGGCACGTTCTCTCCATGGGTTTTTCAGCAGACATCGTTCAACGATGCACCCTCTGCTCGTTTTGACAACTGCTCTATTCTGAGCTTTTCTTCATCTGAATTTTGGAAGCATTAATTAGTGGTTTATTATTTTTTTTAAACATAAAAATGTCACAATGAGAATAAAGAAAAAGGCTTTAATTTCATGGAGAAAAATGACTTTAGACTCACTCTAAAATGTGGGATAAATTGGATATGTAAATATGTAGGCTGAAAGTCAACAGAGACATTTTCTGATAACTTAATGTGTGACATTAATGTGACATTTACAAGCCAATCTGCCTGTGTGTACACTTCAAATGAAGCTATATGTTTGAGAACTACAGTCTCTTCTCCTTGCTGGCCTTTTCTTCAACCTCACTGATTCTTTAGTCTTTCTGAAAAGCTGAAACTGACATTTTCTGTCAATATTGTAATCACAAGTTAAGCTGCTATCAAACTGACACAGTAGTTAAATGAGTAACAAAAACGTTTGTTACCTTTGTCCTTATGATGACATTTTGAGTGGCAAAGCTTACAGCTAGCATAAACATGTCTTCGAAAGATAAATGAAACACGAGTTAAAACTTTTGGAACGTCCTGCCGTTTCAGTAACCACCAGGGTTTATAAGATATCATTTTCTAGATTTCTCAAAGAGCGACTGTCCAACTACAGTAGATTGTGAATGAAGATTTTAAATCGGTTTTCCACAAACTAAGATGGCCCCCAGCACTTTATTCCTCCTGCTCCTTGGGGATTAGCACACCTATCTGAACTGATATATCTTTATCTTCTCGAATATGTGTTTAAAACAAGGATATATAGCACGTATTTAATATTAAAATATAAAATAACGGACAATAAAAAGACATAATACTTAATACCAAGTATTAGCCATTTGTCTATCTTGGAACTAAGTGAACAAATGGGTAGCAACTAGGTTAAAAGGGTTATTTATTGATGAACCCACTGAATTGAACCAATACTATAATATTTAATTAGATATAAATGCATATATAATAAAGGAGTCTTTGAGGAATCTGCAAAGATTGGCTTTAAGGTTAAACATTTTTCAGAAACACGGACTTTGTGACTTGAATATATTTGTGGTAATCATCCATTTTTAAATGTAAAAACAGGGGCTATCAAAACTCTACCCTGAACACCAAACTACATTCAAAAATCTATAAATGTACCGTAAACTATCTTAAAGTGAGTGAACCCGAGACTTTATCAACAGAGTTTATCATGAATAACCAACACAAGTGAACTCTCTCTCCTAAGTAAATTAAGATCTCAAGAAACAGTGACATGTGATATTTTAGTTGAAAACCATCATAATAATATTTGTGGTTAGTTACCTTCCGTGTTGGGACGAGCTGAGCTGCGTGACAGTTGAGGGAAGTTTACTGTTGCCACAGTTACTGGGCATCATCACCCCACCCGTCACAACATGTGTCACAATCAAACAACTAACTCTAAATGCAGACAAGTCTCCCTTAAACCAAAGGTTTCATGTATACCAATGTTGATCCCTCGAGGTGGTATTAGAGCGCAAACATTTACTTTTGCGTCAGAGCAAGCGCACAGGTGACGATGCAGCGAACTTCCGGTAAGACCCTTCAAAATAACTTTATCTTTAGTAATTTATCTTCAGTAAAGGTCATTAGGTACCCTATAAGAGTATTGAGACCCTAAACCAAGGTGATGGCTTGATCCTCATCCGTAAATAGTTGAGTCTCAAGGTTTGTTAGATATGTTAATGCAGAACGTGGGACTGGACGGTGAATTAGTAGGAAAATATGTGTTGGTGTTGGCTTTGATGGTGTTGCCATTCTCTCCCTAGGCTGGTCTTAAATGTGTTGACTGAGGAGGCACTAACTGTTCCTTGACTCACGCTGTTCCATACTGGTGTTGTTCTACTTGAGAAAAAAGGTTTCCGTGGACCAGGCTGGTGTTGTACCTGTAGTTTCAGATCGTGACCTCTTGTATTGGTGCTGAGGGATTTTTTGAACATACTATTGCCACATACTTCACAACTTCTGTCAGACTGTACGCTGTCAATTCCTATCAGTATTTTTAAAAGTTTGGACCATGTTGGCTCGTTTACGTCGAAATTCCAGCGTTTGCAAGTTGAGGCTGGCAAGTCTTTCTGGGTATGAGAAATTTGAGAGGCCGTGCACTAGTCTAGTTGCGCGTCTCTGAACTTGTTCCAGGGCGTCTTTGTCCCGCTTGAGTTTGGGCGACCAGACGACTGAGGCCTACTCGAGGTGAGGACGTACCAAGGATTTGTACAGGTGGAGAAATGATGTTTGATCCAAGGACTTGAATGTGTTCCTCATTGTGTATGTGCGTTGCGGGTTAGTGTTCCCGAGGTGCATTGTTTTGCATTTATCTGGGTGAAATAACATGCACATTGTTTGGGCCCAAGATTGGAGATGGTCCAAGTCACACTGAAGACTGGAGTGCTGCGTGTCATGTAGCTGTGATATGACTTCAAAGATCTTAGTGTCGTCGGCAAACATCAGGACAAAGTTGTTGAGGAAATCCGGTATATCAGCCACAAATAGTACAAACAGCAAAGGGCCAAGTACTGAGCCTTGAGGTACCCCGCTGTTGACGCTTGCAAAATCAGAGAATTGTCCATTTACCACTAATCGTTGTCTGCGATTGGTAAGAAAGTTACGGATCCATTGAAGTATGTTGTCTTGGATGCCAAAGGTTGAAAGTTGAAGGAGAAGTCTCTCGTGTGGAACCTTATCAAAGGCCTTAGCGTAGTCTAGGAAGAGAATATCGACTGGAAGCTTGTGACTAAGGGCTTCAGTCCAGATGTCGATTGCTTCCAGTAGATTAGTAACTGTTGATCTGCCGGACGTGAAGCCGTGCTGTTGCTTGCATAGAAGGTCGTTAGATTTCAGGTGCTCCCTGATGTCTTCAGCAATCAGTCTTTCCATGAGTTTGCACACTACTGACGTAAGTGAGACGGGCCTGTAGTTTGCTGGGTCAGACTTGTCGCCTTTTTTGAAGATGGGGGTTACTGTTGCCGTTTTCCACTGTACGGGTACCTCGCCGCTGGCTAGGCTTGTGTTCAACAGGTTACACAATGGTGAAACAAGGATATCAGCCATTTCCTTAAGTAATCGCGCATGATTTTCTATAATTTCATACAAATCATAAACTCTCTTGCATATGTATTGTATTTTAAACGTTTCTGTAAGCGAAAATAATCTTTTGTGTTTTAAAATGTAAATATATGAGCAATAAGAATATATTCAAGGAATAATTCAGCCAGATACAAAAGGAGAAATTATAAAAACTGAGTTAAATTGCCTTTTTTTTCGACATGGACCAATGTCTGTTCGTAGTACATTAGTAGTATTTAATTTTTATGAATTTTTTTTCGGAATTCTGACCTTTCTATCTCAAGCTAAAGCCTAAAATCCTGCATTGGTTTATGTTACCTCAGTGGGTCTGAGCCATGTGCTCATACCTCAAACATACCACGTGATGGCAGCATAAGCATGCGTTCTAACCAGGGACAGATTCAGGGAAGTGAGTGAGTCCGTATGAAATGAGAGACAGACAGTAATGTTGGCTGTGTGCTCTTTATGTGTCGTATGAGGTTTATAAAAATATATATACATCCCAAAATAAACAACAGACACAAATCCCGATGACAAGTTTGTACAATTGGATTGACGATCAGAGTCACAATCACCAGTTGGCCAGAGATGTAGAAAGGTTAGCGAGATTCTTCCGGTATTTTAAGGACATGCAGCAGATTTCTTTACACTTGGCCTTGTTGAATTATGAGCAGATAAAGCCTTCTACAATACCAGCAGTGTTGGCACAGACACACAACATTGATTTGAAGAAGACCCCATGAAAAGAAAATGGTATATCTGGAGAGGTTATTTCTAGTAAAGAATCTCCAATAAACCTTACATTTTGCCACATGATTTTTCATATAATTTTACCAAATAAGCACAACTTCTCCAATAATAAATGTTTGAGCGGTGAGGTTTTAGATTGCAACCAACTGACACTTCTCCTGTGTAGGAGACCTACGGTGGCCGATGTGAAAACACGAAACAAGAATGGCCCCATCTATAGCCAACGTTTGGTTTGTCCTTTCTAGGCTACTGTAGGAACATGGCAGCCGGCTCTGTGAAGAGGATGCCCTTTCTTATGTAGATATAAACAGTTCATTCCGAGGTGATGAAAACACAACGGTTCTTATTTTTTAGATGAATATACATAATCTTAATGTTATAATCCATTTCTGGCAATAGATCCCCCTTAAACTAAACACAAAGATAAAAACTCCCAAAGTCAAACATTGGAGCAATCGGTAACGAGAAAATGAATCAATGAACTATTATTAAGTTTCATTGCCTTTCAGTACTCGATGAAATTAACATAATTAACAAAAAGGTACAGATTGTACAATACCTACAGGTGGAAAACACAAATTCAACAAAGAGGAATACATTGTTCTTTTGACGAACGATAAATTATGAATTGCAAACTAAGTAGTTAATTTGCTTTATCCAAGAAAGTTATTTGAAATCACATTGTTTAAACTTTAATTAACCAACTTTTATTCTCACCAATCACAGGGCTCTGTGAAATTATTATCGTTCTATTAATAACCACAAATCCAACCAACAAACCCGGAAAGAACAAAGGCAGTGTGGAGGGCAGGCTGATGTATATTGAGCCAATATTACCCCTTTATTAAAACTGGGATCCAGTCGCAGCTGGTGTCATCCTCATATATGATATGATGCGTGCGCCGCATAGCGCTCACATTTATCATAGAATTGATCCATGCTATACTGATGGTTTAGTGAAAGATGTTTTTTCCTTATTAAAAAACATCCATGATATTCTGTCTCAGTAGTTTTAATACCTTGTGGTCTAAACTCTGAGGCTTTTTTATTACATTTTACTAAAAGCAAAAAATGGACAAACCTAAGGAACACTGAATATTTGCACCAAATTTCAGCTTTCGTCAGCTTCACTCCAAAAATAGCAGTCAGATCTGGCTTGGAAAAGCCAGTCAGGTCCTGCAGCCTGCATCATGGAGGCGATCCAAAGCAGCCCAGATCCAAGGTGGCGCTCTGCCATTTTCTAAAGAGACCGATCTTTTCCTTCTCCTGCCTTTTTTTTTTTTTTCCCCTCGACTCTGCGGCGGTGATGCCAAGCTTTGGAGGGCCTGGCACCAAACCCGCTCTCCTCCTGCTGGTGTGCCGGTGTGTTTGTGTGCCGTAGCAGCCAAACACGTAGAGCATACTGTACAAAACACAAACGCACACAGATGAACGGCGATGACGGATGAGTCGAGGACTGGAACGTTACTTCTGGCAAAGATCAGAGGAAGGACTGGAGGTCTTCCAAAATCAAAACCACCAAAGAGCAAATACATAGAGTTTTAATCACAAACAAATCTGCTGTTCACCGTGCTGCAAACTCAGAATGATATAATAGAGTTTAAATCGTACACGCAGCTCTGTTCCTCTCGTATGGTTAGATTTAAACAGCACTCAGGAAACAGAAAAGACGCAAGAGACTTCTGATTTTGGAAGCTTTTAATATGTTTTATTCCTCTACAGACTTTCAAAAATGAACATAAATAATCATCATGTATAAGCAACCTGAGCATCGTTCTGCGAAACAAAATCTTCAATTTATATATGCGAAAAAAGTGAATTGTGGACTGATGCACACTATATTAGATTGTGTCGGACTGTACACTAAAATTTAAGAGAGACTGTTTTTTACACTAGCTTTCATTGGATTACATACATTTTGATACATCGAACATATAAAATTGCCCCGCATGTGTGAAGCCTCCACTAAAGTGACGATGCACCAGCATTCGTGGATATCTTGAGTCACTGGTAGGTTCTCCATCAGCAAAGAGCTGAGAAGACAACCGGCCTTCACCAGCGTCTGCGCTGCAGTTCATGCTACGCGTCACTGGTTCACATCAGGCACAAATCGGCTGCGTTATTTACTATGTTACAAACTGAGCTTCAGCACTTGACAACAATCATTGTTCCGTTTTGTTTTTCAGAGGCATGGAGATGCTGGGTTCATGAGAAATGTGCGATATACTGACATTATCGAATGCACAGTTTTAAATATTTGACCGATGTTCCCAAATGCCTAAAATATACGAAAATCTAATTTTCTTCAGATATTGATTGAAACATCAAGCCTATTGATTCTGGACACATTTTAAAACTTTACTCCACTCCACTGTTGCATCCTTACTGACGGCAATGGCTCTTGGCTGCCATTGGCTATCTAGGCCTTAGCTTTGATTCCTATTGGACAGGAGACTCCCGTCCCTCCCAGCCCGCAGTATCCTTCAGGGTTTTTACTCAGGTACTGCTGGTGGTAATCCTCAGCGTAGTAGAAAGGCTTGGCTTCGGCTATTTCTGTTGTGATCGCACTGTAACCTTCCTCGGCTAGTACCTGAAAGAAGCAGCAACAAAGACACATTTGTAGATTTACAAGGATGTAAACTGCGTTAAACAGATGGAGTTATAGTTGTAGAAGCAATGGACGAACAGACGGATAAGAAGGAAACGTCAGTGATCTCTGTGGGAATCAGCTTCAGCAGCAACAACAAAGAACATGGCAGGAATGGCAGGAATAGTGTATGATGGGAAATTAAGTTCTATTTGATCTCTCCAATGTTGAAAACCTAAAAAAGTAGCGCGTTTCTCTGTGAACTGCGCCTACATTTAGGATTATAAGTGTTTTTTTAATGCACTTGTTTATGTTTGTATCCTATTGAGCATGAAAACAATTTCTCCTCCTCCAATTTCTCTCATCGCCTCTCCTCACACTGCAAAGTACTTACGGTCATCTTGGGAATAAAAAAGTTTGTTTATATAATAAACAAACATAAAAAGTTTGTTTATGGCAAACTACAAAAAAAACAGACAATGCACGCACACATATTCACGGTAGAATCCGTCGGTGATGACACCTTCTCCTCCTTGTGATAAAATAACTCAACCAGATGGCATGTGGATGAATCAAAAAACAAAGAAGCAGGAAAAGACACACACGCGCACACACACACGCACGAAACTTAAATTCCTGACTGAGTGGTGTTGCTTTGTTTTTTTGGAGTGTGTGCCGGCATGTTTACAACACAGCTTGATCATAGCATTGGTTGGCGGGAGAGCTTAATTTGGCTCGACATTTACATGTTTTGTGTTTTATCGGCGGAGCTGCTGTTCTTCCGCCCGACGCGACAGCTACCGAAACCCAAATCCTCTGAAGTGACGGCGCCAGGTTTATGGTAATTATCCTGCTGGAGAACCTAAATGATAATAGAACTGAACCGCGCTTCGTGCATTTTAGGAACTTCTGCGGCTCAAATTGGGATCCAGGCATGATGAGGAAGTCAAAAAGTTGCTCCATGTTTATTTGGTTGAAATTGTATGTGAAAGCTTCATTTACTGGCTGAATGTTCAGGTTAAATATCTAATAACTGTGCCTTTCATTTAACTTTGTGTGTTCAGCTGCATTACGATCACATAATCACAATTACAATAATTCCCCGCCTAATTATATGTTCCATTTCTTGTGATTATGGAGCCGTTCCTACTCGCTAATTGACAGAAATGGCTTTCATTCTGCAAAAAACGTGAAACGGATGCACAACTGAAGCAACATGATCTCGATACTAATGGTGGGAACCGTGTGGCTTTAAGGTTATTGCTAGCTGTTAAAAATGACAACTAGTTTTATGTGAAGTGATCTCACCTTAGATCAGTGGTTCTCAACTGGTCTGGCTGCGGGACCCACCATCACCCCTTAATGACAAGCCGGGACCCACGACACAAATTATATATATATATATATATATATATGTGTAGTAAACAACTGTCAAAT